ATGGGAGGGGGTAGAACATAGACCTGTTGTAAAGTCTGTCATATATTAATGCAAAATCAAATTCCTGCATTAAGCCCATCAAGAAAGAAAGAAGAAATAAATAAAAGGAACAAAGGAAGGTAGGAAAGAAGAAAGGTAGAAAGAAGGAAAGATAGGAAGGAAGGAAATAAGGAAGAAAGGAAATAAGGAAGAAAGGAAATAAGGAATGAGGGGAAGGAGTAAGAAGGAAGAAAACTTCAATGTGCACTTTGAATACAGCATTTCTCTATCTACAGGAGAATACCATGTTTCATTATGAGTCTTTTGGGATTGTGGTTTGTCATTGTGTTGGTCAAAGTCCTTAGGTCTTCCAAAGTTCATTGTATTTACAATATTGCATTTACTGTATAAATTGTTCTCCTGATTCTGCTCACTTCACTTTGCATCAGTTTATAGGAATCTTCCCAAGTTTTTGTGGAACCATTCTATTCACCATTTCTTAAAGCACAATGCTATCCCATCACTTTCCCATACCTTAACTTGTTTAGCCATTCTTCCAGTTGATAGGGCCATCAGTTTCCAATTCTTTGCCACCACAAAAAGAGGGCTATATTTTTGTACATTTAGGTCCTTTTCCTCTTTTTTTTTAATCTCTTTAGGGTACATATCTGGTAGCAGTATCACTGAGTCGAAGGATATCCACAGTTTAAATGCTTTGTGGGCATAGTTCTAAAGTCTTTTCAAAATGGCTAAATCAATTTACAACTCTGCCAGCTGTATATTAGTGTATCTTTTTTTTTCCTTAGCTCCTCTACTAATTGTCTTTTCCTCTCTTTTTTTGGTCAATTTAGCTAATCTGATGAGTTTCAGGTGCTGCCTCAAAGTTGTTTCAATTTTAGTTCATATAATTATTAGATTTCAGCATTTTTATAGGGCTATTGAAAGCTTGGATTTCTTCCTCTGAAAATTGCCTGTTCATATATTTTGACCATTTATCAATTGGGAAATGGCTCTTATTCCTATAAATTTGACTTTGTTCTCTATATATCTTATAAATGAAACTTTTATAAAAAAACCAACCTTGTTGCAAAGGTTTCCCCTTGATTTTCTGCTTCTATTCTAATTTTAGTTGTATTGCTTTTGTTTGTGTAAAACCTTTTAATTTTATGTCATCAAAATTGTCCATTTTATCCCCTGTGAAACTCTATCTTTCCTTAGTCATGATGTTTTCCCTATCCATATTATGCTTATTTAAGTGCGTATTCTATTTGCTTCATGCATTCTTAGCTCTCTAAGGTCAAGGACTTTGTCGTATTGATATTTTCAATCTTTCAAAGTGCATAGTACCATGCTCTGTAGCTGGAAGGTGCTTATAAATTTTGGTGGAAGTTGAAACTGCATATATTAAGCCTCCTTCACAGAGCTGCTTGTTTTAGAAACTTAACTGTAGCAGGCAGCCAGGTGGCAAAGTGAATAGAGCACCAGCCCTGGAGTGAGGAGGACCTGAGTTCAGATCTGTCTACAACATGTAACACTCACTAGCAGAATGAGTCTGGGCAAGTCACTTAACCCTAATTGTCTCAGCAAAACCAAAAAAACCAACAACTTCACTGTATAATAAGAATACAATGTTTCTGTAGGTCTTCAACCTAACTTCGCAGCATTTTAAACTATGTTTTGAAATTTTTTTTTTCAATTTCAGTCATTGAGTATCTAATTCACAAACTTTCCTAATAGACTGGCAAAGTGGTAAACTTTGGGGCATAACTGGGAGAACAGTTTATACAATGATAGTTATCACCCTGTACTCTTCACTCTAGTGACACTGGCCACCTTGACATTCCCCTAACAAGATATTCCATTTCTCAGGTCTGGAAATTTTCTCTGACTGTCTCCAGTGCCTGGAAGGCTCTCTCTCCTCAACTGTACTTCCAGGCTCCCCGGCTTTCTCTAAGTTCCTACTAAAATCCCATCTTTTACAAAAAAACCTTTCCCAGCTCTTCTTAATTCTAGTATTTACCTCTCAATTATTTCCTGTTTATCCTGTAAATAACATATATATATATATATATATTTGTTTAATGATTGTCTTCTCAATCATATTGTGAACTACTTGAAGTCAGTGACTTTCTTTTGTCTCTTTTGGAAACTCCTGAAGTTATCACACTTCGTGGAGCACTTTATATATGTTTATTGACTGGTTAAGAGAAATAAACTTTAGAATTTATGAACATCAAAGTGGAATATTTGTGAGTGCTGTCAAGATTAAGAGTAGACTCATCTCTGTAGATCAAAAGGAGTGGAAGAGGTGATCATGGAAATTGAATAGGTTGAAGAATTAAGAAGTGAGGTTATTTAGAGCACCAGCCCTGGAGTCAGGAGGACCTGAGTTCAAATCTAGCCTCAGACACATAACACTCACTAGCTGTGTGACTCTGGGCAAGTCACTTAACCCCAATTGCCTCACAAAAAAAAAAGAAAGAAAAAGAAGTGAGGCTATTCAAGGGAACATGGGTATCTATGTGGAAGTCCCCTAGTATAAAGGAATGAGGGTTGAAAGGCCATGAGCCAGCCCTTGAACTCATTAAAGAAGAGAGAAAGCCCTGGGCTTCAGTAAATAATGACCACCAGGAGCCTGACTTGGTGAAAATTTGGAGTATTCTGACTCCCTCAACCTCCACCACTGATTTGGAAGTAGATGTATAGAGAAAATGGAAATGGTACTGGAAAGCCATCAGGAAACATTATGTCTCTGTGAGTATCAGAAAAACTGGAAAGAGCAAAAAATAAGAGGTGTAAGATGCAAGGAAATACGTTCATTATGGAGTAGGCATTCCAGAGGGCACAGTGAAAGGGGCAGGCAGGTCTGGAGTGGAACCTTGTGTGGGAGAGCTGAAGTGGACTGGAATAAGAGAGAGGACAACTACAACTAGGGTTAGGGAGTGGGGATAAGGAGAGTAAAAGGGCTGGCAATGTGACTCCTTGAGAAATGAGCAGAGGAGGCATAACAAAAGATGGAGAGAAGTCTATTAAGGGAGGCAGGCAATTGCAACGTTCCACTTCCTCCCTTTGGTTTCAACCTTGTGGCAGGAGGTGGTGTTGTATCCTGGGAGGTCACAGAAACCAGACTCATGAGGGACAGGGGCAGGAAGGGGTATGACATAGAGAGCTTGGGAGCCAGAGCAGGAGGCAGCAGGAGTTGGGAGTTAGTCAGAATGGAGGGCACCTCTTTAGGAGGGTGGTGGTATTATTATTATAACAAGCTACCAGGTGCTTGACTGGCCTGGGTGACTGCAAGAAGAGGTCTTTGGGGAGCAGATTCCTGTTGGAATCATCACAAACACATCAGAGCTCTTTTTCCTGAAAACAGTGGACTGGCTGTTGGAGCAAAACCTGGAATTTTGACTAATATTTTTTATTTACATAAAAGTTACTTCTATTCATTATTTTGTTTCACTCCATCCTGGAATAGGGATTCCTGGCTGTGAGACTTCAAAACTATGCTTCTGATTGAGTGGCACAGTTTTCCTCAATGGCCATTTCACAGTTTTTAGCTTGTTTCGTGTTGTCTTTCCCTGTTAGAATGTAACCTTTTTGAGGTCAGGGATTGTCTTTCTTGTTGCTTATATTTTTATGCCCATTATTTAGTTCAGTACCTGGCACAGAACAGGCACTTAATAAACGTTTATCAAATTGAAAATGAACAACAGTATCAGCTAGCGATTATAATACCACTTTACATTCTCATTTTATCCTCACCACAATCCTGGGAAGTGCTATTGTTATTTTCACTGAAGTACAAGGAAACTGAAACAGGCAGTGGCCAATAGGTGCTAGGAGTCTGGGGCTACATTTGAACTCAGGTCTTCCTGACTCCAGGCCCAACTTTATCTACTGGGCCAAACTGTTGCCTCAGTTATTTTACTGAGACCTCATTTTGCCTCAATGAGATGGCACTTTCCCTCAAGTTTGCCAGTGTCAAGGAATCAGATTTGTTCAGCTTGGGCCAAGTGTGGACATGAGCTCTGTAATTCTTGTACTAGCTAATCAAATGTGCTATAGTTTCCCTGTTTCACAGGGGAACCAGAAAAGGGAGTAACACAACTAGCCAATTGGGAGGACTTCTGATGCCCAGGGCTGCATAACATAGCAGTCATGCTTGGGAAGTAAACTTTAGCTGAACTCAGATGCATGCAACTACTGAAACCAGTCTTGACCAGCTCAGAGAGAAAACCAAAAATCTTGGTTCCCAACTTCTCTAAAGAATAGCAAACATTCTCCTTTCTGAGTTTTTTTCAGATATCTTTTCCCTAGACCCCCATTTCCACTTTATTGTGTTTCTGTTAATCCTGACTTAGCCATATATCCTAAATACCTCAACTATGTATAAATACCTCAAGCTTTATAACTCCCTTCTTAGCAGGTGTGAACCTCGTCTCACTACTCCAGCTTGCAAGCTCCTTCTCAGGCCAAAAAAAAAAAAAAAGCAGCTATTATCATTGTGAACTGTGGTCAGACTCTGGTTCCTTCCCAGATCCCTCTTTTGGACCTAGGTTTTCTTCCATTTTAACAGGTCACGGGGTTTTCCTTTTAACTTGAGAAAGCATAAATTGGAGCAGTGGCTGAAAGTTTCAAAGGGACAGAGCTGAGCTTCTTGTTAGGAAAGTTAGGTAACAATTTAAACCTGTTCCTTTGGGAGGCTGAATAACCAGCTGACTTCTGAAGTCCTTCCCAGCCCTAGGTACAAAATACCCCACCCACACAACTTGAGTTCACCCCTATTCTGCCTTGTGACACTTGCACAGATGACTTGGAGCCTGACCACAAAGGAATACAAGCAGGTATTTTAGAGCTTAGACCAACATGCAAGCCTAAAAGTTCTCCCCCCCACCCCCAAAAATGTAGAATTTAGGGAAATGTTTTGGTAGAACAAGAAGACTGCAGATGCTAAAGATTATAATATTTATTTAAAAATGGATAAATTTAATGTTCAGAACTTCATATGAGAGAGTTGTTAAAAACTTATATGGAAAGCTTAAATGTGACATCACCAGATGATGCCAAACTGAGCTGCAGCTCAGCCATGGCTGTGAACGTGTGTTGACACTAGGGTTTGGAGGAGCTGGAGGGCATAAGTGTATTTAATATCTATTGGTGATCCCAATCTCTCTTCAAGTCTGCATTTCCCCATCCTTCCCCCCTCAAGGCAGGGCCTTCTGTAGTGTTGTCCTTTTCTGTTGTCTAGACATCATCAGGAATCCTCTTCATGTTTTATGTTCTCTAAAGCCTTGGTTTTCTAAGAGAACAACTAGACCTGCTTTCTGAGAGCAAGGGGAAAGGGCTTTGGTTTGATTCAGATTCTGTACAGAGTTAGATTTTCTTGCAAACTTAGCCACAGTAAAGTTTTTGTATATTGAGACTGTCATGAGTTTAAAAAGTATAAAAAGGTTAAAGCTGGGTAGTGGCTTCAGTTATATCTCCTGTTGTGGTAGAGATTTGGGTTGTATTTAGCTCCTCAATGCTTGAAGATCTGAACAACTCCATTTGATATTTGATACTCAGCAATATAATTCCAACAAGCATAGCAGAGAGGCCAATGGAAAGGCAAACTATTCCTAAGACCAAGTATTGAGGAATGTAGTCAGAGGAAGCAAGTGCTGAAATAAGGAATCCAATTAAAAACAGTATTCCTCCAGCTGAGATTAAGCCAAGGTGGGTTTTATATTTCCTGCAGGAAGTTTCTTCTTGTGATCTCTGTTGAAAAGTGACCAGTGCAGCATCACCCATTTCCATATCTTCCTTTGGACCTCGTCTTCCTAAGAAGAGGATGAACTTTATGCCTGGAGAAAGAAAGTTCAAGAAGTCACGACTTTTTTATGATCCTGGCACTCAAGGCCTTCTACAATCTGCCTCCACATACTCCTCTACAATCTACTTTTCTCATCTTGTTTTTTTTAATTGGGTAGTATTCTACATTCTAGTCAATGTATCTTACCTTGACCTGTCTTTTATGCCTTGTCCCCAAGCCTGGAACGGCTTCTCCTCTCTCCTCCAAGCTATTGAAGTCTCTTCCCCTCTTCCAAGGGAACTTAGTTATTATTACTTCCTTGAAGAAGCTTTCCCCCAAAGTACTTATGTGTCAAGTTTGTCATACTATTTTGCCTGACCCCCTCCTTTGCATTTTTCCTCTCCACCCTTCTGTCTGATGGAGTTGTGTCTATGTCTTTCCTACTTTACTGTGCAGGCTACCAAAGACCAGGTTGTTTCAATTATCATTCTCTTCCCAGAGACTTGCATACAGTAGGTACTAATGTTTGTAGAATGGATTCAGCCCTGTTCAGAGAAGCCAAGTTGTAGCCCAAGTCAGCTACAAGAAGAAAATTCACTTTATCTTTATGTACCCTTTATAAGTGGTGGTTACAATGATAGAAATAAATTAAGCATATGAGTCTTAAACACCCAAGTATTTAAAAGCATATTCTGTCATACAGTAGCAAAAAGACTGTGGCCCCTCATCTGGGGCCCAGCTCCTAGAAGGAAACAGAATACTCACTTTCGATAACATCCATGTTGAACTGACTCCAAGTTTTTCTACTTACTACAAAATACTTTTAACATTATATTAGTTTGAAGATAACTAAAACAGACATTCCCAGTTAATTTAACGTGAGCTAGGGAACAATTCACTTTTGTTCAAATCATTAACAAAAATAGAGAAATTCTCATTCAGACAGAAAATAAGACTGATATAGTAACCCATTTTGTGCCAAATAGGCTTAGGGTAGGTGGAGAGGAAGGAGGGTTAGGGAGAGGTAAAGAGAACAAAACAGGTTGGAATTTGACTTCTTTTTAAATATCAGAAGGAAACTGCTGGCCAGTAGAAGTGTGGTTTCTGAGGAACAGCAAGCATCATTATTTAGAATATGCAAAGAAAGTTGCAATTATTTTTTAATCAAAAGCAGCACTATTTGATGAGTGCTTCTGGGCTGGGAAAGGAGTGTGTTTCAGAGAAAAGTAGAAGAAACAAGGTGTTCACTTATGAAAGAATCTTAAGTTTCACTTACCTAGCTTACTTTCTCGAGGTGACTGGGTGACAAAAAGTCAGGGATCTGAGAGAGCAGTCTGTGTCTTGTGAAACAACCAGCCACTCTAACCCAAGGAAAACTCTCTTAGGAGACCTTGCCTTTTCCAACTTCATTTATAGGAGGTGGAATCCTGATTAGGTAATTAGAATATCATGGATCCTCAGGTGAATCTCTGGAAAGATCAAGGGAATATTTTCCTCAATTAAGCCAATGATTTAATTATTTAACTGGCAATTGATGGAAGAACTCTTCTCAAGAGTAGTTATGCGCAAATACCTGTCAGCTTTCTAGTTGGCATCTCATTGTGAAAGAACTTCTGCATAAAATGACAAATTGATAAATCCTTTGTGTAGTTACATTGGCTTTCAGTTAAGAACTAAAGGAGTTCCTCCATTAAATGTTGGGGGCAGGACTGAAAGAAAGAAGCTGCTAAACAAAACTATTGTAACTGTATTTCCTAACTTCCTAGCTTAGCACTTACTTTGTATGTTTCTTTGGTATTTGTCACGCATCTCTTTCTGTTGTGGTTATTTTTAAATTTCAGTTTCACTTTATTTTCCATTCTGAATTCTCTCCTCCACCCTTTGAGGAGGGAGGGGACAAATCTTTTGCAAAGACATATATTTATGCCAAAGAAATTCCTTCATTAGTCCTGCCAAGAAAGAAGGAAAGCAAGAAATAAAAGAAGGAAGGAAATAGAATAGGAAGGAAGAAAAGGAGGGACAAAAGGAGGGGCAAAGGAAGGATAAAAGGAATATAGGAAAGAAGGATGAAAGAATAGTAGGAAGGATGGAAGGAAGAAGGAGAAAGAAGAAAGCTCCAATGTGCACTTTGAGTCCATCATTTCTCTGTCTGCAGGTGGATAGCATGCTTCATCATGAGTTTTTTGGAATTGTGGCTGGTCATTGTGTTGGTCAGAGTTCTTAGGTGTTCCAAAGTTTATTATGTTTACAATGTTGTGTATACTATGTAAATTGTTCTCCTGTTTCTGCTCACTTCACTTTGCATCAATTCATAGAAGTCTTCCCCAGGTTTTCTGAAACCATCCTTTTCATTATTTCTTAAAACACAATGCTATTCCATCACATTTATGTATCTTAACTTGTTCAGTCATTCCCCTAGTTGATAGGCACCCCATCCATTTTTCATTCTTTGCCACCTCTAAAAGAACTGCTATATACTTTACATTTGGATCCTTTTCCTCTTTCTTTGATTTCTTTGTCTTTCTCTATTAGAGTGTAACTTCTTGAGGTCAAGGATTGTCTTTGTTGTTGCTTGTATTTTTATCACCATTAGTTAGTTTAGTGCCTGGCACATAGTAGGTACTTAATAAATGTTTATTAATAATGGTATTACCTAGCAATTGTAAGACCAGTTTACATTCTCATTTTATCCTCACCATAATCCTGGGAAGTGCTGCTGTTTTTTTCCAGTGAAGTACTAGGAAACTGATACAGGCAGAGATTTTGTAGTCACTGAGGATCTTTTGAGGTCATTTTGAACACTGCCCCCTCCCCCCCTTACCCCTCACCCCCTGCCAAGACCCGAGAAAGGCCTAAAACCTGGATTGGCCAATATCAAGAAAGATATGTTGGCTCAGTCTGTACTTAACCTACTGTAATGCTTTGCATCCTCTGGCATAGCAGACATGTTTTGCTTTGCTCTCTGAATGAACCCAAGATGCTCCTTTCCTGTGTCAGCAACTACAAGGCCAGATGAAGCTAACCAGGAACATTCTTCTGTTTATGACTGCCAAGGACAAGGCGCCTTGAATAATGGCATTTTTCTTATCTTTGTATTTTATGGACACATGTTATATTATGTCATGTTAATGATAGAAGAAAGAGACATCTTGGAACTATAATTTCAGTTGACATGTTGACACTTATTAGTATTTACAATTTATCCTAATAAGAAAATTCCTTTCTCGTATGTTGGTTAACACATATGGACATGATAATTTTGCCTGACACAGTCATCCTGAGTCAGTAAGGAATGGGAAATTGCTCTGAAAATATAAGGTCCCCTTTGTCTTTCCTTCCTTGGGCTCATTTTCACAATTAACTCCCATGCATATCTCTATATACATGATTCCCTAGCCTTGAGAGAAATAAACATGCACATGTCATGAGGCTGAATTTTATTTATCTCTTAGAACCAACTTTGTAATGGCTGACACCACACAGGTGCTGGGCATCTAAGAAGGCAGTTGAACTTAGGTCTTCTTTACTCCAGGCCCAACTTTATCTACTAGGCCAACCAGTTGCCTCAGTTATTTTACTGAGACCTCATTTTGCCTCAATGAGATGGCACTTTCCCTCAAGTTTGCCAGTGTCAAGGAATCAGATTTGTTCAGCTTGGGCCAAGTGTGGACATGAGCTCTGTAATTCTTGTACTAGCTAATCAAATGTGCTATAGCTTCCCTTTTTCACAGGGGAACCAGAAAAGGGAGTAACACAACTAGCCAATTGGGAGGACTTCTGATGGCCAGGGCTGCGTGACATAGCAGTCATGCTATGGGAAGTAAACTTTAGCTGAACTCAGATGCCTGCATCTGCTGAAACCAGTCTTGACCAGCTCAGAGAGAAAACCAAAAATCTTGGTTCCCAACTTCTCTAAAGAACAGCAAACATTCTCCTTTCTGAGTTATTTTCTTTACAGATATCTTCTCCCTAGACCCCCATTTCCCACTTTATTGTGTTTCTCTGTTAATCCTGACTTAGCCATATATCCTAAATACCTCAACTATGTATAAATACCTCAAGCTTTATAACTCCCTTCTTAGCGGGTGTGAGCCTTGTCTCACTGCTCCAGCTTGCAAGCTCCTCAGGCAAAAAAATATGCAGCTATAATCTTTGTGAACCGTGATCAGACTCTGGTTCCTCCCAGGTCCCCCTTTTGGACCTGGGTTTTCTTCCATTTTAACAGGTCACAGGGGTTTTCATTTTAACACAAGAAAGCATAAATTGGAGCAGTGGCTGGAAGTTTCAAAGGGACAAAGCCGAGTTTCTTGTAAGGAAAGTTTAGGTAACAATTTAAACCTGTTCCTTTGGGAGGCTGAATAACCAGCTGACTTCTGAAGTTCTTTCTAGCCCTAGGTACAAAATACCCCACCCACACAACTTGAGTTCACCTCTATTCTGCCTTCTGTAACACTTGCACAAATGACTTGGGGCCTGACTACAAAGGAATACAAGCAGGCATTTTAGAGCCTAGACCAACATGCAAGCCCTAAAAATTCTCCCCCACCCCCAAAAATGTAGAATTTAGGGAAATAGTGTTTTGGTAGAAGAAAAACATTGCAGATGCTAAAGATTATAATATTTATTAAAAATGGATGAATTTAATGTTCAGAACTTCATATGAGAGAAAGTTATTAAAAACTTATGAAAAGCTAAAGGTGACATCACCAGGTCATGCCAAACTGAGCTGCAGCCCAGCCATGGCTGTGAACATGTGTTGACACTAGGGTTTGGAGAAGCTGGAAGGCATAAAAGTGTATCTAATACCTACTGGGGCTCCCAATTTCTCATCAACTCTGTTTCCCCACAGGGCAGCACCTTCTGTAGTATTATCCCTATCTAGTGTTGCCTAGACATCATGAGGAATCCTCTTCATGTTTTATGTTTTCTTAAGCCTTGATTTTCTAAATGGACAACTAGACCCGTTTCCTGGGAGCACAGCAAAGGGATTTGGTTTGATTCAGATTCTATACAAGGTTGGATTTTCTGGCAAACTGAGTCACAGTGAAGTTTTTGTAGATTGAGATTGTCATGAATTTTAAAATATAAATAAGTTTAAACCTGTGTAGTGGCTTCAATTGTATCCTCCTCCCCTGTGGTAGAGATTTGGGTTCTACTGGACATCATGATAGGGGCTTGGATTGTACTACACCTTCTGGTAGAGGTTTGGCATCTACATAGCAACATGATAGGAGATTCCATTATAGTTTGATTCACAACTCTTATAGATCTCAACAGCTCCCTTTCATATATGAGACTCATCAGAGAAATTCCAACAGTGATAGCGGAGAGGCCAATAGATAGGCAAGTTGCTCCTAAGACAAAGTATTTAGTAATGTAGCTACAGGAAGCAACTGCTGAAATAAGGAATCCAATTTAAAAAAGTATTCCTCCAGCTAAGATTAAGCCAAGGGGAGTTTTGTATTTCCTGTAGAAAGTTTCTTCTTGTGATCTCTGTTGAGAAGTGACCAGTAGAACATCACCCATTTCCGCATCTTCCTCTGGACCTTGTCTTCCTAAGAACATGATGAACTTTATACCTGAAGAAAGAAAGTTCAAGAAGTCATGACTTTTTTTTCCTAGGACTAGAGAATTTTCCTATGATTGGTAATCATTCTACTTTCAGCTAGAACACATTTGATTTCACTATCATCCAATGTGAATGTAATTAGTCAGACTATTATATCCCATATGGGATTTTTTCTAAACTGTGGCACTGAGAGATTGTTTTCAGAGTAGATATGGGGATGTTGTGGTAGTAAGAATGGAAGTTGCACGCTGACCCATTCCTACTCCACTAATGTACCCCCACTGTACTTTTTTTAATGAATATTTTTTGGAACTACTCTCAATAAAGTCATTCTCAGAAATTTGGGGGCTTTTCATAAACATGGTGACCCTTTAATTATTATATACTAATACAGTTGTAAGAGATTGGAGGATTTGATTCCTCTGTCTTAATTAAAGTAGTTATAAAAAAATAACCACAGATTAGGTGTTAAGTAGATTAGTCATTCTGCTAAATATGACCCTCTGGGGCTGAAAGAGAAGAAAAGCAACATCACTGGACAGAAAAATGTATTGACTATGTTCCTATAATGACCCTCAAAAGATACAATCCAGTCAATCTCCTCAGAAGCTGGGTTCTACTTCAAGTGAGGGTCCATTCTTGACTGATTAAATTGCCCTTTCCAATTCTCTGAAGGGGCTTAAAATCTCACATCCTAAAATGATCACTTGGCATGGCTGCATTTTTTCCCCCACAGTTTAACAGATCCTTATCAATCCCATCTATGTTTTAAGTCCAGGAATTTCAAATCCCTTTATGATCAATAAATGTCACTTCTTGGCTTTTGGGCCAAGATAGTATAAACGGTATGCAGGTAAATTTGTAGACAATGTATAACATAGTCCAGGGGTGGGGAACCTGTTGCCTTGAGCCCTCTTGTTGCCTTGAGCCCTCTTGTTGCCCTCTAGGTCCTCAAGTGGGGCCCTTAGACTGAATCCAAACTTCACAAAATAAATCTGGATTCAATCAAAGGGCTGCACTTGAGAACCTAGAGAGCCACATGAGGGCTCAAGGCAACAGGGTCCCCACCCCTGGACTAGTCAATAGTTTCTTCTATTACAGTT